GGGGGTGGGGGGCTAGCGGGCTTAGGCGACTGCGGGGAGCAGGGTGGGTGGGGGGGAGGGGGAGAGGAGGCAACGGAGGAACGCGGTGCGGAAAGGATTGGGAATGCAAGAGGTGAAGAGGCCATTGATGGTGGGGGGAGGACAAATTTTATGGTTCGCGTCAACGGTCACACGCTGGTTTCCCTGGTGCATCAGGGAGCGGATTGGCATGGCGTAGTATTTCCAGCTGACTCTCGCAGAGGTAAGTTGGCTGGCGATTACCTGTGTAGCGAAGAGTTCCCATTCAGGGGGTGGATTTATGCCATAATAGGAGATATGGATTACTTTTCCAAAGATTTGGGGACCCCTGCTCCATCGAGCGAGGAGATGTGCTGGTTATGTTCGGCCAACCGCCAGACGGGCGCAGGCGGTAGGCCGTGGAACTGTTGCCATAAAGATCGGTGGCCCAACCATTGGATGACGACGCCCCGCAACCCCCCCTTTGTGTTCACGCATCCTTTGTTCCAGGCGTGGGGCGTGACGGGTTACAGCCTCGCGCTCGATAGTATGCATGTAGTGGATTTGGGATTGACGCCCCATGCGCTGGGGAACGCGCGTTACGAAGTTGCGCGCGAGCAAAGTGATCTTCCTGCAAAGGCAGCGACGCAACAGTTGTGGGAACACATTCTGGATATATATGCAAGGTTAGACATCCCACACCGTACTTCAAAATTCGGCAGAAACATATTTGCATCAAAACCGAGCTAGCCGCACAGTGACTACCCATGCTTGAGTAAATCTTTGAAAGCTGTACAGCAACGGTGGCTGGTTCCAGTTATGGACAACATTTCAGAAGCGCATGACGACGGCAGCGAACCGCGCAAGATGCGCTCGCTGATGTTGGTGAACCTTGCCAGGTTTTACCATGACTTAGATGCGGCTGACTTGTACCTTGAGCCTGAAGCAGCGGCTCGGGTCTTATCTGCAGCTGAGAACGCCCTCGTTCTTTATTCTGCCCTTGCCACCAAGGCAATGCGTGATGGCAGATACAAGTATTCAGTTGTAAATAAACATCATATGTGTTGGCATTTGGCCCAAGGGGCCAGGTACATGAACCCGCGGATGCTGTGGTGCTACATGGCAGAAGATTGCATGATAATCATAACGGAAATCGGCTCGGCTGCTCTCATGGGCAGCCCGACTTTGGCACTGTCGGCCAAAGGTATAGAGCGCTGGCGCATAGGTAGGTTCTTTGATCTGGACCGCGGTCTGGACGATGACTAGCTAATGCGATTGGTCATTGGCGGCGGGAAGGAGGTATGGGAGGATGTGGGAGGAATGAGGAATGACGCGGATACGCAGGAAGTAGGTGGGTGGGTGGGTGAAGAACGAACAGGGGAACGTAGAACGACATATGGGAGGAGGGGTGACGACAGAAGGCTGGAGGCCGAGCGAGTTCTCGGAACCTGGCATCGCTCGGACGCGTGCAGTATCCTTCGGCGAGAATCATCGAGGAGCACCCTTGGCCACTTGGCGAACAAAAACACGCACGAAACCGAAACAAGCACAGGGAATGGACGTCCGAGCGATTGCCAAGGAAGGCTGGAGGCCGAACGTGTGCTCGGCTGGCTGGAGGCCGAGCGCGTGCCGTTCGCTGAACAACAGATTGCGGCTTCGCCGCGCGTGCGTGCAGTGCAAAAATTCCTGTCCATTCACCCCCTGTCTGGCGTTCTGACCAGGATTTCATGCCCTCGGGCCAGACGCCAAGAGTAGGACTTGTCGTCTAAGCCGAGATGCCGCAACGAATCCAGTCGTGGCGACGGGTCCCTTCCGATCCTCCATGCCGTGTCGGCGTCGTCTTCTTGGGCGTTGTCTGAGGGGTTCGAGCCGACGTCAGGAGAACAACGATAATGGGAATGAAAACGAGGAGGAGGAGAAGGCTTGTATCTGCCTTCAGCCCCGAGTTCCTTCGCGCGGAATTGCCCGATAAACGTTTGACAACCGTTTGCAAACGTTTGCCAAACGTTTGCAAACGTTTGACAAACGTTTGCAAACGTTTGTCGTGGGTTGTGGGCGGACAATCACCTGTTGTTCGCGGTCATTCGGCGCGTTCCTGCGCGCGCGCGCGCTAGTCATGCGCGAGCAATGGAACAACTAGGAGGAAAGAGAGAGAGAGAGAGAGAGAGAGAGAGAGGGCGGAGAGGGCGAGAGTAGGATGGTATATGAAGAGGTGGATCGCCCAGGTGGGCCCCTGCAGGGCTCTGGTGCCCCTCTCCTACTCTCTCCTCCTCCACCTTCTCCTCCTCGTCCTCTCTCTCTCTCTCTTTCTTTCTGTCTCTCTCTCTCTCTCTCTTTCTTTCTCTCCTCCTAGTTGTTCCATTGCGGCCAAGATCGCGAATGTGGTAAACTCATCACTGGCATGATATGCGCTCGATCGCGCATGACTAGCGCGCACGCGCGCGCAAGAACACGCCGAATAAACGCTAACATCAGGCGCCTGCCCGCCCACAACCCACGACAAACGTTTGCAAACGTTTGTCAAACGTTTGTCGTTCAATTCTGCGCGAAGGAACTCGCGGTTTACCAACGTTTGTCAGTATTTGTATGTTTTTCGCTACCCAAAATGGTTCGTTCGCTACCCATTTTTGAAGGCGGCCGCTATCGATTCTCGCGGCCCCTAAAATTCGGTAGCAGAAATGGCCATCCCTACCCATATTCACGCGTTGGACGGTTACGACCCAAATTTTACGTTTCGCGTTTGCGCTACCCATTTTTTTCGGTAACGTATGATCTGGGGATGCGCGCGGCTCCGGGGAGGCGCCCTCCCCGAAGTGCGGCCGGTGCCGCCCCGCTGGGCGGCGGAGAGGCGCGGCGCCCCACGGAGACGGGACCCGCCGCTGATCCAGGCCCCCGTTGATGCACGTTTGCGATCGCTGGACGCTCTGCGAGAAGGGGAAGGCCTCTGCGGGGGCTTCCTGCGGCAGGCAGGGTAATCTCGTCGCGCGATGCGAGGTCTCCTCCCCTCCCCGCCTCCTCCTCCTACTCCTCCTCCTCCTCCTGCTCCTCCTCCTCCTCCTCCTCCTCCTCCTCATCCTTCTTCTTCTTCTTCCCCAAGCCTAGGACACGCACGGTGTCGGCCTGTGCTCCCCCTCCTCCTCCTCCTCCTCCTCCTCCTCCGCCTCCTCCTCCTCCTCCTCCTCCTCCTCCGCCTCCTCCACCTGAGATTCGCATCACGTGACGAATCCCGTTGCCGATGCAGGGAAGGGGGAAATGGCAGCAGGGGGCCCCAGGGCACATCGACAAATGAACGCCTGGCCCGCGCGAAGACGTCCCCGAGCGGCGCTGGGCAAGGGCTTCCATACAGCCGCCCCTGTAGCCGAACGCTGTAGCAGCAGGGACGGAGAGGGTGTACTGCAGCATCGCTGACGCATCCTCGGCTATCTCTGCGCCAACAGCTCCGCCCGCGGCCATGGCGGGCCAGTCGGCTCTCAGGGGGCGGCTCTGAGCAGTCCCGCCCCACATCCTCCCCGAGCCAGCTTCGTGTTGAAGCCGGCCCAGGTGGGGTCTCGTCGCTCGGGAAGAGGCGAGTGGCGCCAAGACGCACGCGCCACTGCCGCCGACCCGTGCTCGAGCACTTGCGCGACCAGCGCTCTCCTTCTCCTCCTGACGAGCTGACGAGCTGAAGGCGCTAGGATCCGTCGGACGCCGCCCTCCCCCCCCAGGGGTCGGTCGGCCCTGAGGGGGTGATCAGACTAAGAGCCAGGCGACTCCTGGACTCCTGAAGCGTTCGCTCCAGGAGTCGCCGGCTGAGGGTACTCAGTTCAAGGTGAAAGACAGGGTACAGCAACGAGAAGAGGGGAGGAGACCACCCTAACTTCGAAGGAGGAGGCTTCTCCTCTTCCTCCTCCTTCGCCTCCGCCTCCTCCTCCTCCTCCTCCTCCTCCTCCTCCTCCCTCCTCCTGCTCCTCCTCCTCCCTCTCCTCCTCTCCTCCTTCCTCACTCCTCCTCCTCTTCCTCCTTCTCTTCTCCTCCTCCTCATCCTAGATATCCTCCCCCTCCTCCTCCTCCTCCTCCTCCTTCTCCTCCTCCTCCTCCTCCTCCTCCCCGAAAGTCCTCCAACTTCGCGGGGATGCCGCCCTCCGGCGTGTCGAGCTCGGCTGCCGCGTGACCCGGGGAGAGCAACTCCCTCACCTCCAGCTCGGTGCCGCCGAAGGTGGCGAGCGTCGTGTACCGCCGCCTCTCGAGGATCACCAGCCGGCGGCGAGCCCAGAGGGAATGGGAGAGGAGGAGGAGGAGAAGGAGGAGGACCAGGAGAGGAGAAGGAGGAGGGGGAGGAGGTGGAGGAGGAGAGAGGGCGAGGAGGCGTGGAGGCTGGGTGGACTTATATAGGTCTCGCCGCTCGATCTTGGGGGCTTGCGGCACGGCCCTTCGGGGCGGCCGAGCACGGCCGCCCCAGCCCCAGTGGGGGCACGGCCTCCCTCTGCAAAAAGTAGTAGGACCAGATGTCAAGACGCGGGCGCAGCCGTTGGGCTCGCCTACCAGCGGGGAGGTGGACTCACCAGTGCTCGTCTTGTCGCTGCCGACCCCCCCACACCCCTTTGGAGGAGGAGGAGGAGAAGGAAGGAAGAGGAGGAGGAAGAGGAGAAGGAGGAGTAGGAGGAGGAGGAGGAGGCGGAGGCGGAGGCGGAGGCGGAGGCGGAGGAGGAGGAGGAAGAGAAGGATGAGAAGGAGGAGGAGGAGGAGGAGGAGTAGAAGGAGGAGGTAGGTGGTGGATGGATGGCGGAGGAGGGAGTTGGAGGAGGAGGAGGAGGAGGAGAAGGAGGAGGAGGAGGAGGAGGAGGTGGGGGGGAAAGCATGCGGCCGGCTGCAGGCGCCCTGGATCCAAACATGTCGTCTGGTGGCGTTTCACGCTCGCTTCTGCGGGCCTTCCGCCCGCGGACCCGCCGCCCCTTCCGCCAGCCTCCCGCCAGCTTCCGCCGAGGGCGCCACGCGCTTTGAAGGCGAGGCCGTTGCCTTCTGGAGCGCCTCGGCCCCACCGCCGACTGCGCAGATCTTGCCCTGGCCTGGGTCCCAGTGGGAATGCGGGCCCAGGCCAGGCCTGCGGGGGAGATCGCCGCAAGAACACCGCCACCGACCCCCGCCTCGTCGTCGTCCTTCTCCCCCTCTCACATACCTCCCCTCGACCTCATCCTTTCCTTCCTCCTACTACTTCCTCATCTTCTTCCTTCACTCATGCTTCTCTCCTCATCCGCCCTCTTCTCATCATCATCTTATAATCTTCATCATCATCTATCATTATCATCATCATCATCATCTCTTCTTCTTTGATCATAATCAACTTCTCATCTGCATCAAGCATCATCACCATCATCTTCACCATCATCATTATCATCTTCTTCATCATTATCATTTATCCTCATCATCATCTATCTTCATCATCATCATTTCTTCGATCATTATTCCTCATATTCATCATCAACATCAACATCATCATCATCAGCAGCAGCAGCAGCAGCTGCATCAGCTTAATCATCATCATCAGCATCAGCATCAGCATCATCAACAACAGCATCGTTATCATCACCATCAGGAACAGCAGCATCATCATAATCAGCATCCTCATCATCGTCGTCATCATCAGCATCAACATCATCCTCATTATCCTCGTCATCATCAGCATCATCCGTACCACCATCATCATCATCATCTTCATCATCATCAGCGCCATCAGCATCATCGTCGTCGGTATCATTCTCGTCATAATCAGCATCAGCATCGTCACCATCATCACCAACATCAGCATCATCATCATCATCACCACCATCATCACCATCGTTATCACCAGTAGAATCATCATCAACAGCACTATCATCCTCATCGTCATTACCACCATTATCAGCAGCATAATCAGCAGCAGCATCATCAGTATCACCAGCATTATCATCAGCGGCAGCAGCATCACCGTCGTCATCACCATAACCATCATCATCATCATCATCATCATCATCATCATCATCATCCTCAGCAGCATCATCGTCGTCATCATCAGCAGCATCATCATCGTCGTCATCAACACTATCATCATCACAAATAAACAGCAGCATGATCAGTGTCGTCATCACGATAATCGTCAGCATGATTATCGTCATAAATCAGCATCATCATCCTCATCAACATCATCATCATCATCGTCATCATAAGCATCATAATCAGTATCATCAGCATCATAATCATAAACGCCATGGCCATCGTCATTATCATCATCGTCATCATCATTATTATCATCAACATAAATATCGTCATTGCCTCTGGCATCGTCAGCGTCACCGGTGTGGGCATCGGAATCAGCATCGTCATCATCTTCGTCATCCTCCTCACAAGAATCATCATCAGCACCGTCATCGTCGTCGACTTGGATGTACTTGGTAACACCTTCAAACACATCGTCATCAGCATAATCAGCATCAGCATCATCAGCATCATCATCCTCAGCATCACCATCACTACCACCATCACAATGAACAGCATCATAATAATAGGAATCCGCACCATCATAATCAGCAGCATCAGCATCATCATCACCATCAATATCGTCACCATCATCACCAGCAGCAGCATCAGTACTATCGTCGTGGTCATCAGCGTCATTGTTATCCCTCGTCCTTCTCTTCTCCACCCTCCTCTCATATCCCAGCCCCATCCTCCTCCTCCTCATCATCATCTCCCTTCTCCCCCTACGCCGCCACCACCATCACCGCCATGAGGTGGACAGGTCAAAAGGGTCTTCCTCCTTCTCCGTCCCTCCTCCCTCTCCTTCCCTCTCCTCCTCCTCTCATCATCATCATCAGCATCAGCATCAGCATCATCACCATCACCATCACCTGCACCAGCACCGCTATCGCCATCACCATTCCCACCTCCTTCACCACTCCTTGCCGCCATCGTTCCACAAGTAGGCTACCAAACGAGCCCAATCCCCCCGCAAGCGTATGTGTTCGCAAACGGTCGCAGGATCGCCACCACCATCATCCCTGAGATCCGACGTTGCTAAAAGTTGCAACATCGCGAAAAAATGCAACACCACGAAAAATCACGATTGGAGCTCTAGAGCACACATCTCGAGCCAAATCGATCGATGATGGCCTGGGGACCCGAAACCGGGCGAAAACACCAGTCGTGAACAAAACAAACAAAAACACCCGGATCTCAACGATCACCGCGACGGTGCCCCTCTCACAGGGCCTCTGCGCGGAGCTCCGCGCGGATCTCTGGACTTTGCGTTGGACCCCCAGCCCCCTGGCGCGCGGCGCGCGCCAGGGGCGGCGCCGACGACGACGCCACCGGGTCCCAGCGCCGATCCGAGAAATCCGCACTGAGCTCCGATAGTTTATGTTTACGGCAAGTTCGTGTCGTGCCGACGTCGGCGCTGGTCTCTGACGCCGCGCGGATCGTTCAACCCGGAGCGATCGGCGGTTTCCCGATTGCCAACTCGTTCCATGCTGGCCGATGCGAGGCCGCCTGCGGCGCTCGACCTTCGAAAGCCCGCGGCGGGGTCGCCGCCACGTCGGCACGACACGAGCCTGCACGGGGGAGAAAAGCAGTGGCACGAACATGAGCACCTCGGAGCTCCGCGCGGACTCCTCGGATCGGCGCCGGGGCCCCCTGGCGACGGGAAGGGGACGCAGCGGCCGATTCGAGAACACCTCGCCGACCTCCGAGTTCTGCTTTGCATGCCATGGTTTGATCTCCGACTGCCGCACGGCAACTTCGCGTCGCGATGACGTCGGCGTTAGTCTCTGACGCCCCGTGGATCCTTCCACCTTGAGCGATCGCGGATTCCCGATACAGTTGACCCGCATCATGAATCACAAGGCTGCGCGGTAAGGATGCAAGAGCCTTGGAGGCCCAAATGAAGGCTTTTCGAACGAGGCTGGCCAGCGAACGTCGCCACGGATGGGCCGACGGGGCAAGAATGCAAGGGCACCACCACCATTAAGCCGTGCATCCTGCGGGACGCGTAGGCGGAAGAGCGCGCGATTGGCGACTCTTCAGAAAATCCACAACAGAGAGCGAGCACGCGGAGCACCCCGCGATTGCGGAGCAGGCAGCTGAGCGCAACACGAATGCGAAGCAGAAGATGAGCCGCAACACTGCTGCGAGATACAAGAAGAGGGAAAAGGCAGGGGCACCCCTGGGGGACGAGTGCCCACCCCCACCGTGCGCGTGGACTGTGCTGCAGAGCGCTCGCTGTCGGCCATGTCCGGGCCACCGGCGGCGCTCCACCCGGAACGCCCGCCGACGCGTCGGCCGCGCGGCCGACAGCGCGGCGCCGTCAGAGACCGTCAGAGACCGTCGTCGCCGTCGTCGCCGTCGTCGCCGTCGTCGTCGTGGCGTCGTCGCCGTCGTCGTCGCCGTCGTCGTCGCCGTCGTCGTCGTTCTCGTAGTCGTTCTCGTCGTCGTTCTCGTAGTTGTTCTCGTCGTCTTCGTCGTAATCGTCGTCGTCGTCGTCGCCGTGGTCGTCGTCCTCGTCGTCGTCCTCGTTGTCGTCGTCGTCGTCCTCGTCCTCGTCGTCGTCGTCGTCCTCGTCGTTGTGGTCGTTCTCGCCGTCGTCGTCCTTCTCCTCCTCGTCGTCACCGCCGCGGCAACCGCGGCGCGGAGCTGCCCTGTGCCGATTTTGTCCCCCGCTCGGCCCGGGGCCTCTGGGCACCGAAGTCCTCGATGCCGTCCCCGATGCGGCGCCCGGAGCAGCAGGTTTGACACGCCTGAGAGCAAGTATCGGAAGGGGGACACCACAGGGGAAGCGCAAACGACACACCTAAGCAAAGTAACAGCACGAGAAAGACGCAGAGGCGAGAAGAAGAGGACACCGAAGGCATCACACTACCGCGATCCCGCCAATCGCCGATCCCACCCCCCCCCACCCTTACACTCCACACCCACCCTCCCCTCGCATAACCCCCCAATGTCCCACCACCAACCTCCTCCCCCCAAACACCCCCCACCACCCATCACCCACCTCCCCCCCCCCCCCCTCCCCCAAAAACCACGACCCACCACAGATAGCCGCCAGCCAAGTAACGTATCCTTCAATCCTCAACTCCCCACCCCACACCTCCTCCCCCACACACTCCGCCCCTCCTCCATCCCCCTCCCCCCTACTCCCCACCCCGCCTCCCTCACCTCATCCCCCCCTCCACCCCCACCTCCTCCTCCCCCTCCTCCTCCTCCTCCTCCTCCTCCTCCTCCTCCTCCTCCTCCTCCTCCTCCTCCTCCCCGATGCGGCGCAGCAGGAGCCCCTCCTGCTCGAGCAGGCGGTCCCACAGCGCCTCGCGCCGCTGCAGCGTGGCCTTGGCACGTCGGGGACGGCAGGGAGCCCAGACCCCCTCGAGGCATGAGAAAATCACGACGGCTGGCTTCTCGCTGGCTTGGGCTTCCGGGGGCCCTCGCCAGGCCTCGGGACCGTCAGAGAACGATTCAGGATGAAAAACCTGTCGACTTTATGAACAAATCATGAGGTCGGGGGTCTGGGAGGTGGGCGTCCAAGAGAGGAGGGACCGCAGATCATGGCCCCGAGGCATGGGCGCGGACGAGGGGGGGAGATCAGGGGCCGTGCTGAGAGAAGACTAGGGGGGGCCACGAGATCTGGGGAGACATCATGGCCCCTGGCACTCGAAAGCTCCCGACAGTGAAACCGCTGGAGCGCGGAGTCTGTTCAGCACGTGGCCCTCGCTCTGGCGCCGTGCACACTCTCCCGACCAGGCTCACACCTCCACGGAGGGAGGGCGGGTCTTGGACAGCATCGAGCTTCGCTTCGGGCGCCCCGAGGCCTTCTGCCCGGAGGCTGCACACGCACGGCAGCTGCACTGATGGAGGACAGCTAGATTTTCTTCTTGGGGCTCTCGCGGGAGACTTCATGTGTCTTACGACCAGACGCTGGGGCGTGTAGACAACGCGCTCGGAATGAGGGCGGCTATTCTTCCAAACGGGGGCCCTCGCTGGAGACGTCCTTGGAATGCCTGGCCCTAGAGCATCGCACCCCTTCTCGCTACAGGGCTCCCGCTTGAATTACAGGACCTCGACTCGAGCCCTAAAGCTTGGACCTCGCTCGAAACTCGGAGTTCGCCCCCCGAGCAGTAGGAGGACGACGAGCAGTAGGAGGCGGAGGAGAGGGAAGAGGAGGAGAAGGTGGACGAGGAGGAGCACGCGCTTGTCTTTCAAGGGACACTTAGAACAGCGAAAGGAAATTACTCTGGTAGTGTTCTGCGGAGGAGATTGGGGGCAGGCCAGCGCACTGCAGGATCGCTGATGCAGATTGGGCCGACTCTGGTCTTTCTCCTCCTCCTCCTCATCCTCCTCCCCATTAACATCATCACCACCACCAATATCAACATCAACATCATCATTAACATGATCAGAATCGTCTTCCTTGTAATCGTCATCCTCATTGTCTTCGTCATCAGCGTCTTCGTCATCAACAACATCATCACCATCCGCGCCGTGATCCTGATCCCCCTCCTAGTCCGTCTGCGCACCATGCGCACCGTACTCGTGCTGCTGCAACTGCCCCTCGCCCCCAACCCCCCCTCCGCGTTGTGATCATGCTCCCCCTCCTGATCCTTCTGCGCACCATACGCACCGTGCTCGCGCTGCTGCCGCAACTGCCCCTCGCCCCCCCCCCCCCCGTGGACAGCCTTGGTATTGCTCCACCACTTCTCCAGCTGGTCGGAGTCTACGAGGCACCTCTGGAGGTGCCAGCACGACTCCCTCTTTTTCCGTCCCCCCCCCACCCCCGGGGAGAGGAGGAAGAGTAGGAGGAGGAGAAGGAGGACGAGGAGGAGGAGGAGATGGAACAGGGAGGAGGAGGAAGAGGGAGGATTTGGAGGAGGGAGGGGGGGGGGAGGGTGAAGGAGGAGGGGAGAGGGACAATCGCCGCGCGCTCCAACGTCGGCGAGGTATCGCTCGCGCTCGTCCACAATAGTGCAAGCCGTGCGCCCTCTGAGGCACCCTTGAGCAGGATGGAAGGAGGAAGAGATGAGGTGGGAGGGAGGGGGTGATGAAGAGGCAAGAGCAGGGGTGGGGGGGGGGGAGAGAGAAGAGAGAGAGAGGAGAAGAGAGAGGAGGAGGATGAGGATGGGGAGTGAGGGTAGAGGAGGAGAGGAGGAGGAGAAGGGAGGAGCAGGGAAGGGAATGGGGATGTGTGCAAGAGAAAGGCGGTAAGGTAGGAGGGAAGGGAGGAGGGGGGGAGAAAAAGGGGAGGAGGGAGGGAAGGAGAGGAGACCGGGAATGGGGGAGGCGGGGGGGAGGAGGCGGAGATGAGGCGGATGGTGGAAGTGGAGGAGGAGGAGGAGGTGGCGGGGAGGAGAGGAGGGAGGGGGATGAGGAGAAGATGGAGCGAGAGGAGGAGGGAGGAGGGTGGAGGAGGCAGGATGGTGGGAGAGGAAGGACGGAGGGAGGGGGGGAGGCGAGGAGGAGGAGGAGGAGTTAGGGAGGAGGCGGGAGGGGATGGGAGAGAATAGGAAGGCTAGTCGACCGCGGCGCCTCTGGAAGTACCAATCGCAAACCGCGCGGCAAGCGACCACGGGCACCGCCGCGGCGAGCTGGGCCACCACGCGGGGCGGCATGTCCTCTTCTCTCGCCCCTCCTCCTCCTCCTCCTCTCCTCCTCCCCCTCCTTCAATACCCGCCTCCTCCCTCCTCTCGCTCCTCCTCTCCCTCTGCCGCTCCACTCTCTGCTCCTTCTCTCCTCACTCCTCCTCCGCTCCTCCTCTTCCTCTCCTCTCTCCTCCTCTCTTCCCTCCTCCTCCTTCCTCTTACCTTCTCCTCCTACTCCTCCTCCGCCTTACCTTCTCCTCCTCGTCTTTTTCCTTGACCTGCTCATCCGCCTCCTCTGCCCCCTCGCCTCTTCTGTGCTCCTCTCCTCCTCTCATCCTCTTCCTCCTGCTTCTCCTCCTACTCCCCTCCTCCTACATCCCCTCATCCTCCTCCTCCTCCTCCTCCTCCTCCTCCTCTTCCTCCTGCTCCTCCTCCTGCTTCTCCTCCTCCTCCTCCTCCTCCTCGTCCTCGTCCTCGTCCTCTTCCTCGTCCTCGTCCTCCTCCTCATCCTCCTCCTCCTCGTCCTCCTGGTCCTCCTCCTCCTGTTTTCGATATCATGCCAGGGTGGGTCGTCGGTCCTCCCGCGATTTGTTTGGCCAACCGACACAGAGGCAAACAAACAAAAAATACAAAAAAAACACCGCAACCCAAGAACCACAACAATAACGACAGCGCGACACGGAACCGAAGCGAAGACGCGAACGAGAGTCCTGAAAAGGAAAACAAATACCCCCAAAGCGGTGGAGGGGAAAAACGTGGACCTCGATAACGGGGGAAGCAAAAGAACAACACAAACCAACAACACAAGCGTTTTTAGCACCATCGGAGTGCCAGGAAGTAATGGCAGAAGGCAGGACCAGTCAGCATCGAACCGGGAAACTGGATCGAATCGGAATTGTTCGTCGGCTCAGGTTTCATCTGCACGAAGTCGACGTCGACGTTGGACTGGATCGGCCGCGCCAGGATACACAACTACGCCATGCAAGCGTCGGGCAGCATCGGATGGTCGGAATGTCGGAATGGCATCGGGTCCAGCCAGTCATCTATATCGGATCGGGCCGATCGTATTGAGATGGACCCTGCAAGGAGACCCCCACCTCCTCGCGTCGTGGTGAAGTCACGGCGGGCGGTGTTTGGCGCTTTTCGGCCGTGGGGGGCGGCCACCGAGCCGGAGCGCTGCGGAACGACCCGAGATGAAAAACCGGTCCCTGGGAAGAAGTCCAGTCCAGACCTCGCTGCTCGGATTATCCTGTCCCATCGTACTTAAGGGCCATATCCCAAAAATAATTTCGATCACTCAGAACAAGTGTCGCAACAGTGTCGAAGGAATATCGCCTCACAGGGCCCGACACGTGAAAACCCTCCAGGTTCGGTACTTCGTGGCGCTCGACCTTCTTTCTGGAGATCAAGGCTCAAGCAGGTTGGAACATCATGATGCTCGGATCGGCGCGGGGGTTGCTAAGGGGATCGGAGGTCATCTGTGGATGCCAAGGTGGGTTACATCTGGCCTAACCTCGCTTCAACTGCCATGAGCGGCCCAGGGGGGCTTCACGATCTGGGCGAAGTATGCTCCACCCACTCAGCGCAACTACTGCAGGTCCGTGCCGTGTCGACCCTGGCGTTGGTTCCCGACCCCGCGTGGATCGTTCAACCTTGAACGATCGGCCGTTTCCCAAACGGCAGACCGTTCAACTTGGAGCGATTCCAGGCCGCCGCCGGCGTTCAACCTTGAACGCCGGCGGCGGGGTCGCCGCCGGTCGACACGACGCGAACCTTCCGTACCTGGCCCCCCATGGAAGGTGCTCGTGGCACCTTTTTGTTTTGGTCGCTGGAGCGGAAGACGGCACGCGCTGCGGCCCCGCCGAAGGTGCTGCCCTGGCCTCAACTCTCGTGCACGCCACACGGCTCAAGTGTGCTCCCCCGGCGAGGCTGCCTCAGCCTCTGCCGTGCCCCCGGCCTCGGCGCAAATCTCCTTCGCGGCAGACCTGGCCCGCCAAGCAGCCGTGCGGCCGGCCGCAGAACAGGGCGCGCTCGCCTGCGGCATGCGGCGAGACGACCAGCCCGCCAGAGATAGCCCATCTCGGCATCCATACGCCCCCTCAGCCATCCCCCGCGCCGACCAACGTGGGGAGCGCCACGCCGCGAGAAGCACGACGTCGGACGTCCGGGGAACACCGGGGCGCCTCGCCCAGAGCGCGAACCCGAGCTGGTCCTGACATGGTCGCACGGCGTGCTCGTCTCGCGCGGTCGGGCGTGCTCGCACGGCGTGCTCTCGCCACGTGCGGGCGCTCGCGGCCACCTGACACCCTCGCGTCGTGGACGAAAGCGTGAGCGCTCTCTGATTCGGGGTTTCGACACTGGCCCGAAGAGAGGGGAAGGGGGGGGGTCTGGCTCTGGACCTCTGCTTCATGCCACTGCTTCCAACAGTGCGTCCTGTGGGGGAGACTCCACCTGCTTGAAACAGGCGCCAAAACAGCCAAGATCTACTCCACGGGGGGAGAAGGGGGGGTTGCGAGAGGGCAAGCGCCGATCGGCAAGACAAGGAATCAGAGAACGATCACAACATGGCGAACGGCTTTAACGCTGTAATTGGTGCCCGAGGGGCCTCGCTTCACTTGGCCTCGGCAAAGTTACAAGAAAAAAGACGACCTCGGGGGAGGAGGAGAAGGAGGAGGAGGAGGACGACGACGACGAGGTCACGCCCTCTGGGGGTCCACGCTGTGGAAAGATCGTGGCGTCGGGGGTCTGGTCCGCACGGCGTGTATAAATACGTCTGGTGCGAGCACGGCGCGCGCGAGGCGGCGCGGAGGAGGGCGAGGCATGGGGAGCGGGTTGGGGGGCAGGAAGAGGAAGAGAGGGAGGGGGAGAAAGGAGGAAGGCAAGCCAGGCGAGCTCGCGCCACACCTGACAGCCTGTCCTCCCTTCCCCTTCCCCTTTCCGCCGCGCTGATCTGCTCCTAGCCTGACCGGTGGGGAACCGTGGACCGTGGGGCAGGGAGGAGGTGTGGGACCTGTGTGATCTGTGAGGCCTGTGGAACCTGTGTGACTTCTGTGGCCTGTGGGACCCGTGGGACCTGTGGGGCCTGTGGGGCAGGTGCAAACTGCGGACCCGTAGGACCAGTGGGACCTGCGGGCCCTGTGGGACCTGTGCGGCCTGGGGGGACCTGTGGCCTGCGGGGCACGTGAGAACTGCGACACCTGTGGGACATGCGGGACCTGTGGCACCTTTGGGAGCTGTGGGAGATGTGGGACCCGCGAGATCTGCGAGACCAGTGGGACCTGTGGCACCCGCGGGCCCTGTGGGACTTGTGGGGCATGGGGGACCTGTGTGGGACCTGTGTGGGACCTGTGAGACCTGCGACACCTGTGGGACTTGTGGGACCTGCGGGACCCGTCGGACCTGTGGGACCTGCGAGACCCGAATCCAAAAAAGTAGCCCTTGCTGAGGCGAGAGTGCCATTCTGAACGACGGGAGCACAACACAGATCCGAAAAAGAGGCCCACGCTGCAGAGAGAGAGCACGGTTTTGACAACTAGAAAACAATCGGATTGCAAACAAGCGCAGGAAAGACAAAACCATGGAATACTGCTTGCGAGAAAAAACACGCGGCCAGGGCAGAGCATCTTCCGGACGGACTCGGGGTGAGAGAACAATAGTATTCATATCGAGTACTTGCACAGGGGGAGGAGGGGGAGGGAGGGGAAGGGAGGGGGAGGCAGAGGAAGAGGGGGAGGGAGCGGCGAGGGGGTGGTGAGGGGGAGGAGTAAAGAGAGCAAGGAGGATACGACAGGTCCTCCTGGAAGAAGGCGCCGAGCCGCTTCACAGGCCCGATGCACTTCTCAAGGACCTTGTGAGACCCTCCACCCCTTTTCCCCCTCCCCTTCTCCCCCCATCACACACGCACATACACACTGTTTGGCACCGCGGCCTCGCGCGCAGCGACGAGACGTAGAACATCGGGAGAGCAGAAGGGAACACGCGCGCGGTCGACCCCTCAGAAGAACACATACACATACACATACACATACACACATACATACACACAGATACCACACCCAAGAACACCTCCCCCGACCCCTCTCCTCCTCCACATCATCATCATCATCATCATCATCATCATCATCATCATCATCATCATCATCATCATCATCCTCATCCTCATCCTCATCCTCATCCTCATCCTCATCCTCATCCTCATCATCAACATCAACATCATACTTATTACAAACAGCCTGAACGTCATCATCCTCTTCCTTATCACCATCTGAATAATTATCATCATCACCATCGTCCCCAGCATCGTTATACTCATCATCATCATCATCATCATCAGCATCATCATCATCATCATCATCGACATCAGCAGCAGCATCATGATCATCATAATCATGATCAGCATCGGCAACATCAGCATCATAATCGTGATCAGCAGCATCATCATCACCACAACCATCAGCATCAGCATCATCATAATCATCATACAAATGATCATCATCAGTATCAACGTGATCATCGTTATCAGCATCGTCAGCATCGTCATCATCAGCATCATGAGCATAAGCAGCAGCAGCATTGTCGTCACCATCATCACCATCAACAACAGCATGTCCATAGTTCCCCTCAGCCGCACCCGATCAGCAGCAGCATCATCAGCAGCAGCAGCACCATCATCATCCTGGTCCTCATTGCTGCCATCGCCGTAACCCACATCAACACCACCACCAGCATCGCCGCCATCGGCATCATCACCATCGTCAACAACAACGTCGTCACCATCATCCTGGTCATAGTTATCCTCACACTCATCGCAATCTACATCATCAACCAACATCATCAGCATCAGCATCATCAGCAGCAGCAGCATCATCAGCATCATCCTGGTCGTGATAACCAGCAGCATCATCATCATCATCAGGACTATCATGATCATCAGCATCGTCGTCATCCCGATCATCAGCATCACCATCAACCAGCAGCAGCAGCATCACCACCATCCTGATCAGCAGCAGCATCGGCGTCGTCGTCGTCAGCATCATCGTCATCATCACTAGAATCATCATCACCATCACCAGAGCATCGTCCTTACCATCATCGCCGTCATCAACGTCATAATCTACGTCATCCGCCCGCCCCTCCCACCACTTCATCGGCCCACTCCGCCGCCCCGTTCTCCTGCACATCCTCCTCCTCCCCCACGCATGCGTTTCCTCCCAGCTCGCAGAACCATCCTGTTGAGAGAAGAGGATGAGATGGAAACCCTCCTAGAACATCCCCGAACCTCAGGCAGCTCATATAAGAACAAACGACGTTCCCCCGCTCCATCATCATCATCATCATCATCATCATCATCATCATCATCATCATCGTCATCATCATCATCATCAGCAGCATCACCATCAGCATCACTAACACCATCATCATCATCATCATCAGCATCAGCATCATCACCATCATCAGCATCATCATCATCAGTATCAGCATCATCATCAGCATTATCAGCATCATCGACATCATCATCAGCATCATCATCATAAGCAGCATCAGCACAGTCATGCTTACCACTACCACTGTCAACGCAATCGCCTGCAACGTCAGCATCACTATCATCAGCATCATCACCATCGTCATCGTCGTCGTCGCCATCATCATCAGCAGCATCAACCTCATCAGAATACGCAGCCGCATCATCATCACACACACCATCATACGCTGCACCGTCGGCATCCTCAGCACCAGCATCGTCATCATCAGCAGCATCAGCATCATCAGCAGCATCAACATCATCATCGTCAGCATCATCAGTTGCATCATCAACATCATCCGCATCATCATCAGTAGCCGCAGCATCATTCACAGCACCCTTAGCATCATCAACGTAATCATCAGCATCACCATCATCAGCGCCATCGCCAGCATCATCGTCAGCATGGTCGCCATCATCATCATCGTCGACGTTACCATCACCATTATCATCATCGTCATCATCATCGGCATCATCATCACCATCGTCATCATTAGCAGCAGCATCGTAAGCAGCATCATGCTCGCCATCAGCACCAGCATCGTCATCAGCATCGCCGCCGCCGTGAGCAGCAACAGCAGCAGTATCATCACCAACATTACCAGCATTAGCAACCTTGTCATCATCGGACTCACCATCCACACTAGCATCATCATCATCATCAAAATCATCACCATCACCATCATCGTCATGATCACCACAATCAGCATCACCAAACTCATCATCAACAACATCGCCATCGGCATCGGCATCATCATCATCATCATCATCATCATCATCATCATCATCATCCGCATCGCCGTCCTCATCACCGTCACCCTCATCATCAGCATCATGATCAACATCATCAGCATCCTTAGCATCATCATCACCATGATCGTCATCACCACCACCATCATCACCATACTCATCATCCTCACCATACACATCAACGTCGTCGCCATCGCCAACACCGTCATCATCAGTATCAGCCCATCCCCGCCACCTCATCATCAGCATCACTACCGCCGAGTGCTTGCTCAATGTCCGCATCCGACGCCTCCGCCTCCTTCTCCACATCCGCCCCCTATACCTCCGCGAGCACGATCTTCTCCTCCACTTCCCCCACATGCTCCTCCTCCTCCTCCTCCTCCTCCTCATCCTCCTACTCCTCCTCCTGCTCATCCTGGGCCCTGGTTCTTGATGGCAGGAGGTCCCTGCGGGTGCTGCCTCCCTCGGCCCTGGGGGAGCGATCAAACTAGAGCCAAGCAACCCCTGGAGGACCACTCCAGGGGCTGCCGGGCGGCAGGGGGTATATGATAGAAGCACGGGGCGGCCGCCAGACGTAGGAGAGAGGAGAAGGAGGGACAAGATTCTGAATGTCATATCCCTCCCACCTCCTCCTCCTCCTCCTCCTCTTCCTCCTCATCCTCCTCCTCTTCCTCTTCCTCCTCCTCCTCCTCGACATCCACGTCATCTGCCGCCTCCTCGTCATATTCCGCCCCCTCGCCCGTGCCGCTTTCTGGGGGGAACCTTCTGGGCGGCCTCCCAGATGCTGGGCCTCTGGCGCTTCAGCGCGGCCACCTGGGTTTGGGGGGGGGGGGGGGCGGGGGCGGGGATGACTGGACTACCTCTTCCTCACGCCGCCCATCCACACTCCTCAGCTCCTCCCTCCTCTACCCTTTCCTAATCCCATCCGCAATTCCTCCTCCTCATACTCCTCCTCTCCTCTCCTCCTACTCTCCCCCTCCTCCTCCTTCCTCCTCCTCCCACTATACGGTCTACTGCTACTTACCACTAACTACTACTACTACTACTACTATGCTTACTACTACTACTACTACTACTACTACTACCACTGCTATACTACTACTACTTTACTACTACTACTACTGATACTGCTGCTGCTGCCTGCTGCTGCGCTGCTTCTGTGCTGCTGCGTACGCTGCTGTTACATACTTACTACTACTACATTACATTACTACACTACACTACTACTACTACTACTACACTACTACTACTAATACTACTACTACTACTGCCTACGACTGCCTACGACTGCTACTACGACTAGTATTTCTACCACCTCTACTACTACTACTACTACTACTACTGCTGCTGCTCTCCGAACTACTTACCCTAATATACACTCACTACTACATATACTACTACTCCTACTACGATACTAATTATACGTATATTACTACTACTATACTACTATACGTACTACTACTACTACGACTTACTTCTAATAATACTACTACTACTACTACTGATACTATAACAATTAATATACTACGACGACGGTCACTGCTATACTAATTTAGACTACTACCACAGCAACGGCTACAACGGACGGCGACAAGCAGTACTAGAGTACTACACTATACTGCTACTATTAACTACTACTACTAAAGCAAGACACTACTTACTAATACTACTGCTACTACTACTACTACTGCTACGATTACTACTGCTACTACTACTACTACTACTACTACTACTACTACTGCAATTACTACTGTTACTGCGGCTGTTGATGCGACTACTACTTCTACTACTACTACTACTACGACTAATACTTCTACTGCTACTGCTACTACTACTACTACTACTACTACTACTCTTAGTACTACTACTACTACTACTACTACTACTACTACTACTACTATTATTACTACTACTACTACTACTACTACTACCGCTACGGCTACTACTGCTACTACTACGACTACTACTACTGCTACTACTACTACAACTACTACGACTACTACTACAACTACTACGACTACTACTACTACGACGACAACTACTACTACGACTACTACTACTACTACTACTACTGCTACTACTACGACTACTACTACTACGGCTACGACTACTACTACTACTACAACTGCTACTGCTACTACGATTACGACTACGACGACTACTACGAGTACTACAACTACTACTACCACTACCACTACTACTACTAGTACTTCTACTACTACTGCTGCTACTACGACTACTACACTAAAACTACTATCACTACTACTGCTGCTGCTACGAAGACGACGACACCGACTACTACTGCGACAGGTCCTACGACTACTACTACTACTACTACTGCGGCGACTACTACTGCTAGTACTAGTACTAGTACTAGTACTAGTACTAGTACTAGTACTAGTACTACTACTACTACGACTACTACTACTACTACTATACCTACTACTACGCATTACTACTACGAGTCCGACTATTACCACTACTACTACTACTACTACTACCACTACTACTACTGCTACGCATACCACTACTACCACTGCTACTACTACTACTACTACTACTACTACTACTACTACGACTACTACTGCGACTGCTGCTACTACGACTACGACTACTTTTTCTACTACCACGACTGCTACCACCACTACTATTACTACTACTACTACTACTACTACTACTACTACTATTACTACTACTACGACAACGACTACGACTAGTTTAACTACTACTGCTTCGACTGATAGTACGACCCCTACTACGAATCAAACTACTACTACTACTATTCCTACGACTACGACTACGGCGGCTACTACTACGGTTACTACTACTACTACTACTACTACTACGACGACTACTACTACTACTACTACTATTACTACTACGACCACCGCTACTCCTGTTACTACTACAACTACGACGGCGGCTACTACTACGACTACTACTACTACTACTACTACTACTACGACTGCTACTACTACTACTACTACTACTACTACTA